GAGGGGCCCCTGTGGACTTTGGAGCCGCCTGGGTGGGTGGTGGAGGGGCCTGGCAGCACTGGGGGGACAAAGGTCCCTGAGGCCCCAAGGTGGTTTCTTTACCGAGGGGCCCCTCGGCCCTAGGGAAGGGGGGGTTGCATGTTGGAAACCCGCAGCCGCCGGGGGTGGGGGACCTTCCCGCCCAGGGCGCCCCACTCTCCCTGAGCAAGGGGGAGCCAGTGGGGCTTTCCCAGTGCGGACAGTCGTTCCAGCCTGCTGGGGTCCCCCCCCAGCTCACCCACCCACCCCAGGCTGAGGCCTCCCCTTGACCCACACAGCTGGGGGCGGTCTGGGCCTGCTGTGGGCGGGGATGGGGGTAAAAATGTGATTTCGCCACAAACAAGAATTTCCTGTTTGCCCACCGAGAGAGCGAGCACTGCAGAGGGGGGTGGGGGGGCTTATCTGCCTGGGCCTCCGCCCCTCCCCCACACCTGCGCCCTTATCTGCTTCCTGCTCCCTCTGCGGGGCCTGGGGGGGGTCCCTCCCTCCCCCCCACCAAGGCTGAGCCTGGAGTTGGGTGGGGGGGTCCCCAGGTCTCTCCCGGGAGTGGCAGGATGGAGGCCTTGCAAGCCGCTTCGATCCCGGCACCCAGGCTCCATCCAGAATGATCCCAGAGTGGGGGGTGGGGTGGGGGGTGGGGTGGGGGGTGTCCCCCCGCCCCCCAAGACCAGTCTTGGCCCATAGGTGACAGAGGAGAGTGGGGTGATGGAGGGCCGGGGGTCTCTCCCCGGAATGTAAGTTCTGAGGCCAGAGAGACAGGACAGCAGGGAGGGCGTTTGCCTTGCACATGGCTGCCCTGGGTTCGATCCCTGACATCCCATAGGGTCCCCCGGAGCACCGCCAGGAGTCCCGCTGGGTGTGACCAGAAAACCAAAACTTAAAAAAAAAAAAAAAAAAACAAGGTCTGTCTGGCAGGACTGACCAAGGGCCTGGGTGGGATTGGGGGTGTCAGCTGCAAGCAGGCTCCTATGGGGGGGTGTCGAGAAGCCAGGGAGGTCGCAGTCAGGCCACGGTGCCTCAGTTCCCCCTTCTGGGGAGCTGGAGCTGTCAGCCCAGTCTCAGCGGTGAGTGGGAGGGATGCCAGCCGCCCCCAGCCCCCTCCCCCAGTCCAGGCAGGTCGAGAGGGCCCCCCAGTGCCGCCCCGCTCTATTCCCTGGGCCCGGACAGACGCCCAGACCAGGGTCCTGGTCCCTGCAGACTGGGGGGCCCGGCCACCAGGGGTCTGGGGTCTCCCCAGGCGCAGGGCCACCAGCTGAGCATTGCTTAAGCTCCTGCTGGATACACAGGTCTGGGGGACCTGGATTAGCACTGGGTCACCTGTGTTGAGGGTGGGGGAGGCAGATTCCTGGGGTGCAGAGCCAGGAAGAATAAGGGGGCCGGGGCGGGGGGAGGCTCCAAGGGGCCCAAGCACAGGCCTGACTGGCTCGAGGTGGGTGGGTGGGGCACAGGGGGGCTGGGGGGCAGCACCTCAGGGTGTGGTCCCTGTGAAAGATTTGGGGGGCTAGGCAGGGGAGTGGGGGGTGCAACAAGGTCTTTTTTTTTTTTTTTTGCTTTTTGGGTCACACCCGGCATTGCACAGGGGTTCCTCCTGGCTCTGCACTCAGGAATTACCCCTGGCGTTGTTCAGGGGACCATATGGGATGCTGGGAATCGAACCCGGGTCGTCCGCGTGCGAGGCAAACACCCTCCCCGCTGTGCTATCGCTCCAGCCCTGGAAGAGGGTCTTGGGGGTCCTTGGAAGCTGCGGCCAGTGGGTTCTTACGGCATCAAGCAGAGATTGTGCACCGTGAAAGGGGGGCTCTGGGGAATCGGGGGGGTAGCCTGAGTGGGACCCTCAACTGCAGGGCAGTTCCAAGGCCTGGGCCCCTGGCATGGGATCTGGGCACTGGGTGCCCCTCTTGGGGGGAATGAGCTGGGGGGGGCAGAGCTTTTTCCCAGTCCTGGGACTGGCCCGGGGAGGGGGAGGGGAGGGCCCGGAACTTCAGGCCTGAGCCCCATAAAGCTGGGGCAGCCTTTACAGCCGGCCTGGCGCTCGGCCGAGGTGATGAAAGCCGCCCCCCCCCCCACGAGGCACCGGGGCCATCCGCCCTTTATGGCCCCCTGTTGGCGCCCGTCCAGTGTGGCCCCCCTCACCGTTTGGCCTGGGGGTCGTCAGCTACTTCACTGCGGGGGACATAGGGCGCCCATAGTCCAGGCCCCCCCTCCCGAACCTCGGGTTTAGGGGAAGCGGATACGTCTGTCCTGGGGATTTGGGGGGGGGCGCCTGTTTGGGGGAGACTGAACCTGGAGAACCCCCTGCCAGCCATGTCGGGGTCTCAGGAGGGGCCTGCGGTTCCCGGACCCCTGTTGAAATTCCAGGGCGGCTGTACCAAACTGTGTGGATGGGGGGCTTCAGTGGGGCTCACTCGGGGGGTTTATTTGGGGGATACCAGGACCAAGGCTCTGGGCGGGGTCCCGCTTCCCCGGGCCTGGGGTTCCTGGACTGTGCCCACACCCTCATTTCCTATGTCTCTCCCTCCTTCCCGGAACACGACTGCATTGCTGGTGACATTAACTCATCCTCCTGCCCAAAGGCTGTTTCCAGATGAGGCTTTTTTGTGTTGGGGGGGGTGTTGCCCTTCCTTCCGCATCTGCTGTCCCTGGAGAGACACCCTGTCCCCACCTGAGAAGACCCCGGGGTTCACTCAGGCACCCTGGATGTGAAACCCTGGCGGGCCCCCAGGAGGTGGTGGCAGGCAGACACCTGGTGCCACAAAGGACTGAGGAGGGGGGAGGGTGCGTGCAGATTGGGGTGGGGGGGAGCGGAGGGCCAGCCTGGGAAGGTCCATCTGCCCCGGCCTGTCCACCTGAGGGCCTCACAGCCCCTCGGGGCCTGCCCTGGCCTCCAGCCCCATAAATCAGCGCAGGAATGTGGCCATTCAGTCCCCAGGCCGGGCGGGGGAGGCCTCACAGCCCCCGACCACCCAGGCTCCCGCCCCGCCTTCTCCTGTGGACAGGTGGGGAAACTGAGGCGCAGGAGGGAGCTGCTGAGGGGATCCCTGCCAGGCTTGCTCAGAGTAGCTGTGTGCCCCCCCACCCCCCAGCCGTGCCCCCCCCCCCATGGATTATCTGGGCCGCCCAGGCAGAGCTAATTGGTGGTTTCAAGGCCCCCCACGCCCCCTCCCTCCGGCTGTTGGGTTCCTGAGACAGGGAAGCTGCATTCTCTCTCAGGGGGTAATTTTGAGGTCTGCTGTTTGCTGCGGTGCCCCCCCAAAACACACACACACACACACACACAGACAACAGACACATAGACACATACACACACACACACACACACATACTCTCTAATTATCCTGCCCTGCATACACACAGACAGACACACAAACAACAGACAACAGACAACAGACATGTAGACACATACACACACACACATTCTCTCTAATTATCCTGCCCTGCACACACACAGACAGACACACAAACAACAGACAACAGACACGTAGACACACACACACACACACACATAGAAACAGACACATACAAACACACACACACGCTCTATCCTGACCAGCCCTGCTGCTCCTCCTGGTTCTGGGGAGGAGGTGGCCCGCATGCGTGGGGACCCCCAACAGAGCGCGTGCCCCACCCCCACACCCCGGCCAACCAGGATGCCCAATGGGGGGTCCTGATGGGGGGGGGGGGGCAGGGGGGCTCTGAATGTTGGGTGAGTTGTGTGTCCCAAAGCGACAGACTGAAGATTCCAAGGGTTGGGGCTGGAGCAATAGCACAGCGGGGAGGGTGCTGGCCTTGCACACAGCTGACCTGGGTTCGATCCCCGGCATCCCATAGGGTCCCCTGAGCACTGCCAGGTGTGGCACCCAGACACCATGATGGTAGGACCTGGGGTTAAGCTCAGTGAGCTGAAGGCACAGAACGGCATGTGGGAGCCCCGGGTTCGTTCCCCAGTCGGTGACACGTGGTCCCTCAGCGCTGCCAGGAGCCGGAAGTTGACCGTCACTCACACTGGGCCGGGGGTGGCCCCAAACCAGAAATCAAACGGAAGGGGACCGGAGCGACAGCACAGTGGCGAGGGCCCTCACTTTGCACTCGGCCAGTCTCCTGTTCGATCCCTGGCACCCCGTAGGGTCACCCGAACCCTGCCGGGAGTGATCCCTGAGTGCAGCCAGGTGTAACTTACCCCTGAGCATTGCCCAGTGTGGCTTGAAAAACCAAAACCATGGGGTTGGCGCGATAGCACAGCAGGTAGGGCATTTGCGTTGCACGCGGCCGACCCGGGTTCGATTCCCAGCATCCCATAGGGTCCCCCGAGCACCGCCAGGAGTAACTCCTGAGTGCAGAGCCAGGAGGAACCCCTGAGCATCGCCGGGTGTGACCAAAAAATGAGAGACAGAGGGGGTGGAGCCATAGCACAGCAGGTAGGGCGTTTGCCTTGCATGCGGCCACCCGGGTTCGAATCCCAGCATCCCATAGGGTCCCCTGAGCACTGCCAGGAGTAACTTCTGAGTGCAGAACCAGGAGGAACCCCTGAGCATCGCTGGGTGTGACCCAAAAAGCAAAATCAAACAAAAAAAAACCAAAAAAACACAACTCATGTTCTTAATTTTTTTTTTTTTATTAAAAAGCTTAGGGGTCAGACGGGGGTCGTGATGCAGGGATGGGGGGTCCTGCAGTTCCTCCACCGTGGCCTAAGTGGGCCATGTGGACAATTACGGGGGGGAGGCAAGAGATGGGGGGAGGCAAGAGATGGGGTGAGGTAGCCCTGAATAGCCCCCCACCCTTCCTTCCCTGGACTCCAGCCTACAGGCTCTGGGACGGGGCGGGGGGTCTGAGAATCTGGGTCGGCAGCACCCCTTTTGTTGTATGAACCCCCATCAGCCGGGGGCCCTCGGCCATGCTAGACCCTCGGGGAGGTCGAGAGGGATCCTGTGTAACCCCCCACTCATAGCCTGTCCTGCTCGCAGCTCTACGAACTGGACGGGGACCCCAAGCGGAAGGAGTTTCTGGACGATCTGTTTAGCTTCATGCAGAAGAGAGGTGAGCACTGTCCGCCGGGCAGGGGTTGGCGGGGTGGGGGGGTTGGGGGGGGCAGCCTGGAGTCATCAGAGGCCTCCCCCACCCTTCCAGGGGGGTCCCAGGAGGTAGCCCAGGTCGGTAGCCCTCTGGGGGATGGACCCCGGGTCGTGTCCACGTTGACCCACCCATACTCGGTGTCCGGGAACCCCAAACACAGACTGGGCACGAGGAGCTGAGACGGGGCTGGCTGGGTGGGGAAACTGAGGCAGTGGGCCCAGGGTAGAGGTGGTGGGTGTCGAGCCTGGACGTGGGGCGGGGGTCAAGCCCCACGCAGGCCTGTCCTGGGGGGGGCTGGGTGGGGGACCCCACTCAGGGAAGGAACGACCGTGAGACTGGGGACCAAGCTGTGCCCCCACCCCCGCCCCCAAGGCCGGAAGGGGGAGGCAGGGAGGGGCACAGGGGCCAGGCCCAGCCCTGCCCAGACAGGAGGCCAGTGGCTTTGTCCAGAGTCAGCCCCGCCCTGCCAGAAGGTTCTGTAAACACGGGGCTGCTTGAGGAGAGGAGGCCGGCCGCTTTAACCCCTGCCCTGCCGTCCCTGGGCTGGCGGGCGCTGACCCTGGCCCGGGCTGCGGGGCCCCTGCCCTTATCGGCCTCCCAGCCCCGCCGGGGCCCGCTGCCCCTTGTGGTCAGCAGCTCCGCCCACTCTGTGCTCATTATCACTCTGACCACACAGGCCTGAGCGCCCCACGCCCCTGCCCAGTGGCACCGGGCCCCTCCAACCCGGGGATGGGGGTGGGGGGGCCTGGAGGACCCCTTCGAGCTGCTACCTGTAGGCCAGGCTTGGTCTGGACCCTCAAATCTGGCAACTCCGGGTGGGCAACAGCCAGCAGCAAACTCCTACACACCCCTCAAAACCCAGCCCCCAGTGCCCTTGGTATGACCCTTATTCAGACCTCCTGCTCTCTATAGTTGGATGCTTTGGGGCTGAGAATGTGGGATAGCACTGCCCACCCCCCCCCCATGCCCCCTCTGCATCCCCCAGGCTCCTGCCCATCCTCTGGCAGGTGGGGGGTGGGGGGTCAGTCAACATGTCCCCAATAGATTGTGTCCGAGTTCTTAGGGGGCTGGCACGAGGGGTCCCACCTGTACCCCCAACGCTCCAGCGGGTTCCGAGCTGACCTCCCTGCCCTTCCTTATCAAACCCCGCAGCCCCTCCCCCAGGGAGCCCCTGTTCCTATAAACATCCGTCCGGCCCCACCCCGGACACGGCCAGGCCGCTGGGCTGGGCCTCTGGTCCCTCCCGGAGGAGTGTGGGGAGAGGGTCCGGCAGCAGGGCCCCTCTGGGTGGCCATGGCACATGAGGGCATCTGTAGCTCCCTGGTGGGCCGGTGTGAGCCCACCTCCCCTCGCTGTGGTCTGCTGAGAGGCTGATCTGATGCGGGGGCAGGTGGTCACCCCAGAACTGGGCTGCAGGTGTCCACTTGGTATGCAGCTGCTGGTAGGGGTAGGGGGTCTTCCGCCAGGGACCCTGATCAGATCCTGGGCAGCATGGAGTCCAGGAACAGACCCCAGGCACTGCTAGGTGCAGCCCCCCCCCCCAAAAAAATAAAAAATAGTGGCTGGAGCACTAGCACAGCGCGTAGGGCGTTTTGCCTTGCACGCGGCCGACCCGGGTTCGATTCCCAGCATCCCATAGGGTCCTCCGAGCACCGCCAGGAGTAATTCCTGAGCGCAGAGCCAGGAGGAACCCCTGAGCATTGCCGGGTGTGACCCAAAAAGCAAAAAAAAAAAAAAAAAATTAAAAAATAGATAACCCTAAGGGTTTGGATTTTACTCTTTTTTTTTCCTTTTGGGCCACACCCAGCTGGGCTCAGGGGTTCCTCCTGGCTCAGTGCTCAGGAATCACTCCTGGTGGTGCTTGGGGGCGGTTGTAGAGGGTGCCAGGGTGGGGATGGGACCTGGGTCGATTGAGTGCAAGACACGTGCCCTATTGGGGCTGGAGCGATAGCACAGCGGGGAGGGCGTTTGCCTTGCACGCTGCCGACCCGGGTTCGATTCCCAGCGTCCCATATGGTCCCCTGAGCAACGCCAGGAGTAATTCCTGAGTGCAGAGCCAGGAGTGACCCTTGAGCATTGCTGGGTGTGACCCCCCCCCCAAGAAAAAAAAGAAGACAAGTGCCTTCCCTGCAGTAGTATCACTACGGCCCCTAACTCTTCTTTCTTTTGGGGTCCCCCTGGCTCTGCGCTCAGGAATGGCTCCTGGTGGGTTGCGGGGGACCCTGTTGGCAGATGCCCTCCCCGCTGTCCTCTTCCTCCCCTCCCCCTCCTCCTGCAGTCCCCGGGTGAACGGGGGTGTGGGGGGGACACACACGGAAGCCCCAGGCTGCCCCCACCCCTCCCCACACGGCCCTTCCCCTCTCAAATGAGATGAGCAGCGAGCACGGATGGGGAAACCGAGGCAGACCCTCCTCTCGCATGCAGTCTGATGCTGCTGCGGAGAGCGGGGTCAGGGTCTCTCCCGAGGACACTCCGGTTTGGGGGGTCGGGGTCTGGCTCCCCCTCGGCCGGCCGCCCCCCTCAGCCGCAGCCCTCCCCGCAGGGACGCCCGTGAACCGGATCCCCATCATGGCCAAGCAGGTGCTCGACCTGTTCATGCTGTACGTGCTGGTGACGGAGAAGGGCGGCCTGGTGGAGGTGATCAACAAGAAGCTGTGGCGCGAGATCACCAAGGGCCTCAACCTGCCCACGTCCATCACCAGCGCCGCCTTCACCCTGCGCACGCAGTGAGTGGGGCGCGGGGCCCGGGAGCACTGTGGGAGGAGCCAGGGCGGGGGTCAGGGGGTGTGGGCACAAGTGCTCGAGGGCCTGGGGAGCACTGTGGGAGGAGCCAGGGGGTCAGGGGCGTGGGCACAAGAGCTTGGGGGCCTGGGGAGCACTGTGGGAGGAGCCAGGGCAGGGGGCGTGGGCTCAGGGAGCGCTGTGGGAGGAGTCAGGGCAGGGGTCAGAGGGCGTGGGCACGAGTGCTTGGGGGCCTGGGGGAGCACTGTGGGAGGAGCCAGGGCAGGGGTGGCACGAGGGCTCGGGGAGCACTGTAGGAGGAGCCAGGGGGTCAGGGGGCGTGGACACGAGAGCTCGGGGGCATGGGGAGCACTGTGGGAGGAGCCAGGACAGGAGGCGTGAGCCCGGGGAGCACTGTGGGAGGAGTCAGGGCGTGGTCCCCCGGGGAGCACTGTGGGAGGAGTCATGGCGTGGCCCCGGGGAGCACTGTGGGAGGAGTCAGGGGGCATGGGCATGAGAGCTCGGGGGCCAGGGAGCACTGTGGGAGGAGGCATGGGCTCGGAGAGCACTGTGGGAGGAGTCAGAGGGCGTGGGCACGAGAGCTCAGGAGCCTGGGGAGCACTGCCGAGGAGCTGGTGGGGACGTGGGCACGAGAGCTCGGGGAGCACTGTGGGAGGAGCCAGAGCGGGAGCACGAGAGCTTGGGGATAGGGATGCGCTGCAGAAGAGCCAGGGCTGGGGGGTGGGGGACGTGGGCACGGACAGATTGGGGGGGGTCTGGGAGTCAGGGGTCGGGGAGGGCTGCGGTGCAGCCAAGGCTGGTGGCGGGGGCGGGGCCACCACGTGTTTGGGGGTCCCGGAAACAGGGGGGTCGCTGGGGTGCAGCCAAGGCTGGCGGTGGGGGCTGGGGCCACCCAGAGCTTTGGGGGTGGGGGGCCCCGGGGCGCGCTGGGCGGAGTCCGGGCTGGCGGGGGTCCCGGGCGCGCGGGAGCTGGCTTGGGTGCGACCCCTGCCCGTGGCCCCTCGGCAGGTACATGAAGTACCTGTACCCCTACGAGTGCGAGAAGCGCGGCCTGAGCAACCCCAACGAGCTGCAGGCGGCCATCGACAGCAACCGGCGCGAGGGCCGGCGCCAGAGCTTCGGGGGGTCCCTCTTCGCCTACTCGCCGGGGGGCGCGCACGTGCTGCCCTCGCCCAAGCTGCCCGTGCCCGCCCTGGGCCTGGCCGCCAGCACCAACGGCAGCGCCATCAACCCAGCCCCCAAGATCAAGAAAGGTGAGGGGGGGGTTACTGCCCGGCCTGGACCTGGGGGGGGGGTCCCGGGAAGGAGGGGGGTGGTCAGCTTGCCCCTCCCCGCACCTGGAATGACCGAACCCCAAAGAGGCGTGGAAAGGGGGTTGCCCACGCCCAGGGATGTGCCAGGCAGACATCACCAGTCACTGACCAATCCATCAGTCAATCACAGCCCCACACCCACTCGCAGACATCACCAATCAATCAATCAGGCATCAACAGGATCCACGCAAGCAGGCATCACCAATTGATCACCCTCGCGCCCCTTCCCCCACGTCCAAGAGCAGGGACCCCCCCCCACCCAGCCCAGCAGGCATCCCCGGTCACACTCGGGTCCCACGTCCACCGTGTCCCCCATCAGCGCCCCCAGCCCCTTTCCTAGCCAGCTGCCCGTTAATTTCCTTCCCAGCCCTGTGCCCGTGGGTGGCCACCAAAGCCTGTGCCCATCCCCGGTGCCCACCGCAGGCGGGCCTGGCTCTGACATCAGCCTTCCTTGACTTTTGGCTCATCGCCCCCGTCTCTGTCGGTAATTTTTTTTTTTTCCTCTGGCTCTGCAGCAAGGCCAGGCACGAACAAATCGAGGCTCCCCGACCAGGTAGCCGCAGAGGCAGACGTTACTCACCCAGCCCCTGTCTGCAGGCTGGCAGCTGCAGACATCAGCAGTTGAGCACAGAGCGCCCTCTCCTCCCGGGGCCGAGGCAGACCCGGCTAGTTGATTGCTGGAGCCGAGGCCTGACGCTCTGTGGCGGGCAGACAGAGCTTCTCAGACCTCACACGGGTCTCCGGCCCCTTAAAGGACTTTTTAAAAAAAATTTTAAGGGGCTGGAGCAATAGGACAGCGGGTCGGGTGTTTGCCTTGCATGCGGCTGACCCGGGTTCGATTCCCAGCATCCCTATGGTCCCGTGAGCACCGCCAGGAGTAATTCCTGAGTGCAAAGCCAGGAGTAACCCCTGAGCATCACCAGGTGTGACCCAAAAAGCCAAAAAAAAAAAACATTTTTTTTTAAGCTGGGGGCTTAGCCTGGGGAGAGCTAACAGTGGGGAGGGCATTGACCTTCGCAATGGGGCCCATCTGGGGTCAATCCCTCAGCGTCCCATAGGGTCCCCAGAGCACCACCCGGAGCACTGCCAGGAGTCACCCAGAGCTCAGAGCCAGGAGTAAGCCCTGAGCGCCGCCTGCTGGGACACCAACCACACCCCCCCCCCCAAAAAAAAAGTATGGAGCTGAGTCACAAGGTCACAGGGCTGAGTGGCTTTACGTGCAGGAAGCTGGGGTTAGATCCTCGGCATTGCATAGGATGCCTCGAACACCACCAGGTGTGGTTCCCCCCACTAAAAAGACATCGTAAGGGGGGGGTGGTATTACAGGTTCCCCTGGGCCCAGAAGAGCCTGGGCAGCAGCACATGTGGCCCGGTACTAAACCACGATTATATTGGCCATGTATGGCTGAGAACTGCGCCCCCGTCCCCACCCGCCCCGGACCTGCCCCGAGCACCACTTGGGAGTCCCTTCACACACCCCCTGCTCAAAAATAAATCGGGGTTGGAGAGATAGCACAGCGGGTAGGGTGTTTGCCTTGCACGTGGCCGACCCGGGTTCGATTCCCAGCATCCCATCTGGTCCCCTGAGCACCGCCAGGAGTAATTCCTGAGTGCATGAGCCAGGAGTGACCCAAAAAGCAAAATCAATCAATCAATCATGTGACTCCGTTTGGGGTCACTGCACACAGTAATGAGCCGGGCTTTAGGGTCAAAGCGGTGGCAAGCGGAGTGGCACTTCCCTTGCATGTAGCCAACCCAAGTGGGGCAGCAGTGAAGCCTCTGGTGCCCTTTGGTTTGGGGGGGGGCCACCCCTGGCAGTGCCCAGGGCTGACTCCTGGCTTTCCCGCTCAGGGAACCATCCTGGCGGGGTTCAGGGACTGCCGGGGAGGGAACCGGAGTCGGCCGCAGGTGAGGCAGATTCCCTGCGTGGTGTTCTCTGATGCCTCTTCTCTCCCGACACAGAGGAGGACTCTGCCATCCCTATCACCGTCCCCGGCCGTCTGCCTGTCTCCCTGGCAAGCCACCCGGTGGTGGCGGCCCAGGCAGCGGCTGTACAAGCTGCCGCTGCGGCCCAGGCAGCCGCCTTGGAGCAGCTGCGGGAGAAGCTGGAGTCCGGGGAGCCCCCTGAGAAGAAGATGGCGCTAGTGAGCGACGAGCAGCAAAGGCTTATGCAGAGGGCGCTGCAGCAGAACTTCCTGGCCATGACGGCCCAGCTGCCCATGAGCATCCGCATCAACAGCCAAGGTAGTCCGGGTGCGCCGTGTGCGGGGTAGGGACCATTGCTGAGCAGCAAGAAAGACCCAGGAGCCACCCTATATAAAGAGTATTGAGAAACCAACAAGAGGGCCGCCCCCTCCCCCGCCCCGCACAGTAGGGAGGGTGTTTGCCTTGCACGCAGCTGACCCGGGTTTGATCCCTGGCATCCCATAGGGTCCCCTCTCTGAGCTTCACCAGGAGTGATCCCTGAGCGCAGAGCCAGGAATCAGCCCCGAGCACCATGGGGTACGGCCTCTCCACAAAATAAGGAGAGGAGAGGGGCCAGCAAGCAGTAGGGTTTGGGACACTGTCTTGCTTGGGTGAGACCTTAGGTGTTTTCTTTATTTTTACTTTCGGGGCTACACATCCTTATTCTGGGATGTGGGTATTTGGGCCACACCTGGCTGTGCTCAGGGATCACACCTTGCTTGGAGGCCCCAGCCAGGGGCTGGGAATTTGAACTGGGCTCAGCTGCATTCAAAGTAAATGGTTTAACCCCGCACTCCCTGCGGCCCTGCACTCATGTTTCTCTCTTGTTTGGGGGGCTTGATGGGGGGTTGGGGAAGGAATCCTTATGGGATGCCAGAGATCGAACCTGGGTTGACGGCCTGCAAGGCCACTGCCCTCCCCAATGTCCTATTTCTCTGGTCCTCCCCTGAAGCTTGACCAGGCTGTTCCCAGACTCCGGTGATGGGGGAAAAAAATCAATCTCTCCGTCACCCCAACTCTGTGGCCTTCACCCTAACTTGATGGAGCAGAATCATTTTCCCTACAAGCTTAGCAAGTCACTTGCATCCGCCGTGTTCCCTCTCCCCCCCCTTTTTTTTTTAGCTTTTTGGGTCACACCCAGCAATGCTCAGGGGTTCCTCCTGGCTCTGCACTCAGGAATCACTCCTGGCGGTACGTGGGGATCGAACCCGGGTCACCTGCATGCAAGACAAGTGCCCTCCCCACTGTACTATCACTCCCCACTTCCCTTTCTGTGATCTGGGGGCGCTCTTTAGGATGCTGGCCCACTAGTCTCTACTGGGAGATGAGTTTGGGGATCACACCTGGCTCTGTGCTTTGGGATCACTCTTTGGCGGTGCTTAGAGGACCCTCTGGGATGCAGGTGATTTAGATGGGCTCAGCTGTGTGGAAGGCATGCCCTCCCCACCCACTCTGCTCTGCCCTGCCCTGATCATTGTTTTGTTTGAGGGCCAGACCCCAGATGCTCAGGCCTTCTTCCTGGCTCCTTGCTTGCTAAAGGTTCACTCCGGGGCTTACACGGGGCCGACCCAGGTTCGATCGCCAGCATCCGATAGGGTCCCCCTGAGCACTGCCAGGAGCGATTCCTGAGTTCAGCGGCAGAAGTAATCCCTGAGCATCACCTCTTGTGACCCAAAAAGCCAAAAAATAAAGGAAAAAAAAAAAAAACAAGGATCACTCCTGGCGGGGCTTGAGAGACCCTATCTGGTGCCAGGGAATCCAACCAAGGTGGGCAAGACAGTCGCCTTCTCCATTAGAATCGCTCCAGCCTGAGCCTCAGGTTTAATTTAACACGCTGGAGTTAAAAAAAAAAAAAAAAGAGGGGCTGGAGAGATAGCACAGCGGGGAGGGCGTTTGCCTTGCATGCGGCCGACACGAGTTCGATTCCCAGCACCCCATATGGTCCCCTGAGCACCGCCAGGAGTAACTCCTGAGTGCAGAGCCAAGAGTAACCCCTGTGCGTCGCCAGGTGTGACCCCCCCAAAAAAATGAGGTGAGGGGGCTGGAGCGGGTAGGGCGTTTGCCTTGCAAGCGGCGGAAGCAGCAGACCGGGGTTCGATTCCCAGCATCCCATATGGTCCCCCGAGCACCAGTGAGGAGTAATTCCTGAGTGCAAAGCCAGGAGTAACCCCTGAGCATCGTCGGGTGTGACCCAAAAAGGAAAATAAAATGAGGTGAGGCTAGTGGGATGCTGATAATCACTCTGATCCATCGTCACCCGCATTTAGTTCACATCAGGCAGTGCTTGGGGTTTGCTCCCCCTTGGTGGTGCTCAGGGGACAATGTGGTGCCAGGGGTCCAACCCCAACCCCCAGATGCGGGAGCTGTAGCCCAGCGTGGGAGGGCGCTCGCCTGACAAGCTCCGCAAGCCCCCTGGGGCCCCACAGCCAAGACCCGGGGAAAAAAAAAATCCCCCAACCTGATCGATCCCTGGTTCATGAGCAGGTGCCCAAGGGAGACCAATCCTGGCCTCTAGGGGTGGAGTTGGGGGCTGGCGTCCACAGACCGGAAGTGGGCGTGGCGACTTGCCCAGAAGTGGGCGGGGCTTGTCAGGAGTGGGCGGGGCTGCCCAGCCGGAAGTGGACTCAGGATGGCCCATGTCAATGATGTTTCTCTCCCGCAGCCTCTGAGAGCCGCCAGGATGCAGCCGTGAGCGTGACCGGACCCAATGGCAGCAACAGTATTAGCATGTCAGTGGAGATTAACGGGGTCATGTACACAGGTAGGACCCCAGCCTCTCACCCAGGGCGCGAGGGTGCACACGTGTCAGGGTCGGGCCGGGAGGATGCTTTGTAAGACCCCCTCGCTTCCCTTGGGAGTTTTAAGGGGCCAGGGGACATGGCGCACATAGGTGGGCACAGCCTGTGCATCCATCCACGTTTGACCATCTGGACCCCCACGATTCCCCCCCACACCAGCATTTCCAGGCGTAACCTGTGAGCACAGAGCCACGAGTTGCCTCTGAGCTCTGTGTTTTTGGGATGCTTCTCCCCTACAGAAAAAACAAAAAAAGCCACTCAGGGGCAGGAGAGATAGAACGGTGGGTAGGGCTTGTGCCTTGTATGTCGATTCCATCCCTGGCGCCCTGTAGGGTTCCCTGCTCCTGCCCTGCCCACCCCGTCCCCCCCCCATGATCTCCCTGCGTGCAGTAAGGAGAAAATCCTGCGCGCTTCAGAGTGTGGCCCCCAATACAAAAACCCCAGGGGCTGGAGCGATAGCACAGCGGGGAGGGCATTTGCCTTGCCCGCGGCTGACCCGGGTTCGATTCCCAGCATCCCATATGGTCCCCCAAGTACTGCCAGGAGTAATTCCTGAGTGCATGAGCCAGGGGTAACCCCTGTGCACCACCGGGTGTGACCCAAAAAGCAAAAGCAAAAAACTGCATCTGCGTTACTTGTTCTTAGTTTTTCCCTGTTTGGGATTTGGGAGGTCCCACATGGGGGGGACTCAGAATCCACTCCCGGCTCTGCATGTTCCAGAGTTTGCTCTTGGTGGTGCTCAGGGAGCCAGGGGCCTCTGCTGGAGATGAAATTCAGAAGCCCACCGCACATGCCCTTTGAGCAATATACCCCCCCACTCCCCCCTCCCGAGGGAGGACTCTGGATCCCATTCCGAAGCCCCGCCCACACCCCCTATTACCCTGGCAGAAGGCCAGAGTGGGCCTCACTCTGTTTTTGTTTGTTTGGTATTTGGGGCTGTGCTCAGGGATCACTCCTGGCAGTGCAAAGGGGACCTTGTGGCATGCTGAGGATGGAGCCCAGACCAGCCCCCTGCAAGGCAGACGCCTGCCCTCCTCTACTGTCACTCCAACTCCTAGCATCCAGGGCATTTCTTTTATTTCTTTTATTTTTTATTTCTTTTTGGATCACACCCGGCGATGCACAGGGGTTACTCCTGACTCTGCACTTAGGAATTACCCCTGGCGGTGCTCAGGGGACCATATGGGATGCTGGGAATCGAACCCGGGTCGGCCGCGTGCAAGGCAGACGTCCTACCCGCTGCGCTATCGCTCCAGCCCCTCTTTAGCACCTTACGTGTAGTTTCTCTCCGGTTCCCAATTACAATTTTTTGGTGGGATTGAGCCTTACCCACCAGTGCTCAGGCCAGGCACTGCGCTCAGCAGTGACCCCTAGCGGTCTACCCTGTGCGGTGCCGGGGATTCGAAGTGGGACCGGCCGCTAGCCAGGCAGGCAAGCGAGTGTCCTTCCTCCTCCCCGTTGCACTATCTTCAGCAACCCCTCGACATGGGTTGTTGCTTTGGGGGTTTGTGCCACACCCAACGATATTCGGGCGTCACTTGGGGGTCTGTGTGCCCAGGGATCTGTCCTGGCGATGCTTGAGGGGACCCTATAAGGATGCGGTGGGGCGGGGTGGGGGGCTGGAGCAATAGCACAGCGAGGAGGGCGTTTGCCTTGCACATGGCCAACCCGGGTTCGGTTCCCAGCATCCCATATGGTCCCCCGAGCACCGCCAGGAGTAATTCCTGAGTGCATGAGTCAGGAATAACCCCTGTGCAATGCTGGGTGTGACCCAAAAAGCAAAAAAAAAAATCAAAATCAAAAAAAGGATGCCAGGGATGGAACTCGGGTGTGTCACGTGCAAGCCCGCCCCAGCGCCCTCGCTCTGGGTCTTAACGCCCCCCCCCCCGGAGAAATCTCACCCCCTGTCTTTGCATTAGGAGTGCTTTTCGCTCAGCCGTCAGCACCCACGCCCTCCACAGCCCCCAGCAAAGGCAGCAGCCGGGGAGGGTCCAGCAGCAGCGGTGGTGGCGGCGGCGGCAGCAGTGGCAGCAGCGGTGGCAGCAACAGCAGCGGCGGCGGCAGCAGCAGCCAGGCGGGATCTGCGGGGCTCTGCGCGCCCCCGACATCTACCTCAAACAATTCATTGCCTTAACCGTACCTCTCCTCACCTGCCGCTTTCCACTACCCCAACACCTCCTGGACCGGGCAGCAGGGTCGCAGGAGAACGGGAAGAAGGAGACACAGGTGGGGAGGGTCGACATTCAGAAAGGACCCACAGCTAACGCCAAAAACGAAACAAAAAAAAAAAAAAAAAGAAAAAGAAAAAAATAGAGATACGTATATATAAATATATATATAAAGAAAATTTAATAAAACAGGGGAAAACGAAGGAACACTTGAATTACTCAGGCCTCGGACACTCAGAGAGAGAGGGAGAGAGAGAGAAAGAGAGAGGCGGGGGGGAGGCTGTGAGATCAGCCCAGGAAGAGGGGAGAGAGGCAGGTGGACCCCTGCCCCGTGGCCCCCAGCGCCTGGAATAGGCACTTCCGGGGGTGGGGCGATGTCAGACCACGTGATCTAAGCCACGCCCATGTCAGTTGCCTCACGCTGGCGCTGAACCTTGTGGCTTTTTCCATTATTTTTTTTCCTTGGATTTTTTTTTTTTAATCTTTTTTTTTTTTTTAAACGATCTATAGTGTCTTCATGACTCGCACTCACCACACCTTGCTCCTTGAGTTGAGAAAAGGAACCCGGAGCCACTTACTGTCATTTTTTTTTTCTTGGTGATTTTTTTTTTCCCTCTCCCCCACCTCTTTGTGGCTCTCGGGAACTGTTGTTTTTTTTTTTTTTTTTAGTGGGAATGAAATAGCGCTAATATGCACACTTCATAGGTTTTTGTCTTTGAAAGAAAATATGTGCGTGGGGGTTTCATTTTGTAAATATTCTATTTTATTTGGGGGGTGCGGTAAGAAATCAGACCTTGACCAAGAGAGATCAGTATACAGGTATATATTTGTGCTCGTCCAGGGAAATGACTTGAAAACAAAAACAAAAAAAGGGACCCCGGAGTCCTCCTGCTGGCCCGTGTGGGTCCCTGGCTGGCGTGTGGCCGGGCGGGCAGGGTGCTGGATTCTTGGGGAGACACCAGCAGAGGTAAACTCAGGTGCTGGGGGGCTGTGGGGGGGGTGCATGGTGAATGAAGCCCTCCCCCCGCCCTCTGTGATGCTTATTCTCCTGCTTGCATTGCATGGGGGGTGGGGGGGCTCTCTGGGGCAAGAATCTGGAAGTCTTAAGGAGAAAGAGCTAGAAAAAAAATCCCACCCCCACATGGCCCCCAGGCTTCGTCTCAGGGATGAATTTGACCCCCCCTCCCCCTCCCACTCTGTCTTACCCCAGAAGGCTGCTTGGGGAAGGATCTAGAGTGGAGAATGGGGTACAAGCCGGGCTCCGCTCAGGACCAGGATTTTGGGGCCACGGCGCCCGAACCCCTCTATTCTCCTTTCCTTTGTCCCTCTCACCCCTGGCCTGCTCGTCGGCTGGGGAGGGTCTGACCTTCTGCACCAGAACCCCCCAGGAAGGGCAGCTGTGCCCACCAGGCACTGGGGATCTGGGGCTTTCTTGAGGAAGCCCCAGCCAGAATCCTGGAGACCCCCTGGACGTGGGGCTGTCTGTCTGTCCCCCCCTTTTCCCCCCATGGCGGATTTTTTTTGTTTGTTTAGATTGTCAACATCTGCGTTTTCCTGGGGGGAGCTCATTTGCCCCCTAGGGGGGAACCTGGCATCTAATTGGGCCCCCGGGAGCCCCACTAACTAAGCCAAGAGGGGCAAGGGCTCCCGCCTGGCCTCATCCCAGGCGTCATCCGGTTGCCTTGGAGACCGCGGGGGGGGGGGCCGGAGGGGGTTGAGCTGCACCCCAGAATCTGGAGGTTGGCCTTCTCTTCAGTCCTGTGTCTCGGGGAGGGAACCCTCTTTCTTTGGGATAATCTCAGGGTTTTTGACGCCCCTCCCCTACTTCTAGGAGGGCTGGTGGTGGGGGTCGGGGGGAGGTGTCTAATCTTCCTTCTAGAAGGTTCTCTTCCCCCCCTTCCCGGTCCTCGCTGCAGCAGCACAATCATTGTGTGAGCAGGTGGGGGGGAGCTTGCTGCCCCCAGGCACAGTGCCCCCTTCCCCTTCTCCCTCCCGTCCCCACCCCGCCCTGCCGTGGGGGGCGCAGAGAGAGGGGTGATCAGCAAATTTCTTTCTACCTCAGGTGTGACTTTTGATGCCAAATCCCGCTTTGCTGGCCGGGGCCCCTTGCCTCCTGGGAGATCTGGGGGGCGGGGGTCCTGTGCTCATTCCCACCCCCCCACCCCACCCCCCAGGGTCCGGGGCGCGTGTCCGGGACTAACTCAGGGCGAGCCTGCTGTTCAGCGCTGATGATTGTAAGGGGACGGTGGGGGGCGCGGTCAGGAGTGGGGGCGCCCCGCGGGTGGAGGCGTGGGAGCCTCATCGCCAGGTCACTGCTGGCCGGTGGGGATGGATTTAAGGAAGGGGTGGCTTCCGGGGGTGCAGACCCGCACCCCACTTTGTGCACATCCGGTGGAGAGCGGGCAGGTCTCCGACCTGCCTTGCAGAAAGGGTGGGAGGGCTTCGCTGCGCAGTGAGGGTGAGGGTCCCCCCAACTCCGAAGAGGCACTCCCCTAACTTGGGGGGGGGCGACGGTGCTTCTACACTTTTCCTTGTGACCTCTAACCTGGCCGCAGGACCTTCCTGCTGGGGATGGGGGGTGGGAGGCGGAGGGGGGGCGGGGAGTCTGGGTTAGTAGGGGTTAAGTGCGTTTATGCAGCTTCGTTTTATTCGCTTTTTTTTTTTCTCTCTTTCATTTTTGGCCACTTTTTTTGCCTTTATTTCCTTGATTTTTGCTTTTTTTTTTTTTTGGCATTTTCTGGTTTTTGTTGTTGCTATTTTTTTTTTTCTGGTGGTCATTGTTTTATTTTTCTCTCAACTCTGCCTTCCATTCTTGACATGTGAAATTTTAGTTCCTCTGGGGTTGGTCAGAGGGGCACAGGGACCACACCCCCAGCTCTCAGGTTCAAAGGAGAAAAAAAAAAAACTTTTTTTTTTTCTTTTTTAAATATAAAGGTATAAAACAGATTCTACCTCTGGTGACTCTGCCCGGAGCTCAGGGCCGGGTCACAGATTTCAGTTCAGGTTTTGTTGTTGTCTTTGTCGTCGTCGTTGTTTTTTTTTTTTTGGCAGAACATTCAGGTATTAAAGGGGAAAAAAAAAAAAACCAACCAACCAAAAAAAGGACAAAAGACCAAAAAAAAGAAAAAAAAGTGTGATTTTTTTTTGAAATTTAAAGAACACTGAAAGTTTACACTTTATAATAACATTATTATGCAGATTGTATTTAAACTTCAGAAATATTTAAGACAATTGTGTAACCTTGTAAAGCTGATGAGATATTAAAACGAGACAAAACACTCTTTTAACAGACTGGCTCTGTGTTTTTTTTTTCTGGGGTGCTGCCCTCCACTCCCCCATTCTGCCTGGGTGCTAATGGTTGAGGGTGTCCTACCTTGCTGGGGCCCAGTCCCTGCAGCTAGGAGAGAATCCCCCCACCAGGAGACACATCTGTCAGAACTAGGGGAGCTGAGTGGTCCAGCAAGCAGCCTGCCCCCCAGTTGGCTATACCTGATGGGAGGATGGGGGACCCCAAGAGTGGGCATGTCTGGGGCTGGAGCGAGAGCACAGCGGGTAGGGCGTTTGCCTTGCACGCAGCTGACCCGGATTCGATTCTCAGTATCCCATATGGTCCCCGGAGCACCGCCAGGAGCAATTCCTGAGTGCAGGAGCCAGGAGTAACCCCTGTGCATCGCTGGATGTGACCCAAAAAGCAAAAAAAAAAAAAAAAAGAGAGTGGGCATGTCTGATGGGAAAGCCCCGTTGAGAATACAGACAGGGTCTCCATCCACTGACCACCCTGTGGTTCTTCTTTCCCAGGCTGACCCCTGGGCCTTTGCACGTCACTCTCCAGGCCTCAGTGGTGCCATGCAGGACACGCACCTCAAACCCATCTCTCTCTGGCCCCTGCCAGCTCTAGGAGCCCACTCCTGTGCCCACCTGGCAGTCTCCAGTCCGAGATCAAGAGCTCCAGGGGTGCCAAGTTTGCCCCCAGGACTGGAGCGATAGTACAGCAGGAGGGAGGGCGCCAGCCTGGCACTGGGCTGAGCAGGGTTCAATCCCTGGCATCCCATAGGGTTCCCTGAGCCTCGCCAGGAGTGATCCCGGAGTACAGGGCCAGGAGTCAGCCCTGAGCAGCGCCGGGTATGGCCCCCAAACTGACACCAGGCTATTCCCCAGCCTCCATCTTCCCTGCCATGATAAATTGGGGATAGTCCCAGAACCCCTCCAAACCGCCGCCTCAGCCCTGCACCCCTCCCGAGGGCCTCCCAAGGGTGTGCTTAGCCCCTGCCCCGGGGTCTGCCCTGTGACCCACAGGCTGGGCAGGCCTGGACTTGGCCTCGCAGCCGACCTGCGCTGGCGTCTCCTGCTCCAGGCGTCCAGGCCAGTGCGCAGCCTGTTCCTCGCACCTGAGTACCAGGAACCAGCGTCCAGGGTCAACCCCCACTGTGTTCCTGTCCTCCAGGCAGATAAAGGAAAATATGATTTGAAAAGGAGGAAAAAAAAAATTCCAAAAAGTCCTTCCGGCAAAGTGGCCAGGGCCAGTCCGGACATTCCTGAGCTTCAGAGGCCGCGTAGGGCCAGCTGGGACCTGAGATCGCACGTGGTAGGGGACAGGGTGGACAGAGATAGGCAAGGTCAGACCCCACCTCCCTGCTGACCCGAGGGACCAGCCCTGCCATCAGGTGGACCAACACTCAAATCCATGGCACGGGAAGCCTGAGGGGGTTTTGGGGTGACAAGATTTGGAGGCTGGGGGAGGCCAGGAAGACCCCCAAGGAGTGATACAGGGCAGCGGGGAGGGTGCTGGCCTAGCACACAGGTGACCAGGATTCAATCCCCGGCATCCCATAGGGGTCCCCCCCAAGGCTGCCAAGAGTGATCCCTGAGCACAAAACCAGAAGTCAGCCCTGAGCACCGCGGGGTGCGACCCCAAAAAACAAAACACCAAGATTCTATGGCCACAGGGCTGTGTAGGGATAGTACAATGGGTAGGGACTCGTCTGGCCTGTGGCTGACCCAGGTTCGATCCCTGGCACCTCATAGGGTCCCCCACACTCCTCCAGGAGTAATTCCTAGCGCAGTCAGAAATGACCACTAAAACAGTCGGGAGCCAGCCCTGAGCACAGAGCCAGGAGCCAGCCCTGAGCACAGAGCCAGGAGTCGGCCCTGAGCACAGAGCCAGGAGTCGGCCCTGAGCACAGAGCCAGGAGTCGGCCCTGAGCACAGAGCCAGGAGTCAGCCCTGAGCACAGAGCCGGGAGCAGCCCTGAGCACCGCAGGGTGTGACTCTCTAAAAACAAAACATCAAGACTCTATGGCCACAGGGCTGTGTAGGGATAGTACAATGGGTAGGGAATTGTCTGGCATGTGGCTGACCCGGGTTCGATCCCTGGTGCCCGTTAGGGTCCCCCACACTCCTCCAGGAGTGATTCCTGAGCGCAGAGTCAGAAGTGACCACTAAAACAGTGGGGAGCCAGCCCTGAGCACAGAGCTGGGAGTCAGCCCTGAGCACCGCAGAGTGTGACCCTCAAAAAACAAAACATCAAGACTCGACAGCCACAGGGCTGTGAAGATAACATCCCATAGGGTCCCCCACACTCCTCCAGGAGTAATTCCTAGCGCAGAGTCAGAAATGACCACTAAAACAGTCAGGAGCCAGCCCTGAGCACAGAGCCAGGAGTCAGCCCTGAGCACAGAGCCGGGAGTCAGCCCTGAGCACCGCAGAGTGTGACCCTCAAAAAACAAAACATCAAGACTCGACAGCCACAGGGCTGTGAAGATAACATCCCATAGGGTCCCCCAAGGCTGCCAGGAGTGATCCCTGAGCACAGAGTCAGGAGCCCTGAGCACAGGGAGGACTGGGCTGTGGGACTTGAGTGGGGGCACCCCAGGGGGGCTGGCAGGTGCGAACAGAAGGGTCTGTGTGGTAGGGGTCAGTGCTGGTCTGTGCCCCACCCCCCACCCCCACGGCCTCCACCCTTGGGCACAGGCAAGGTCAGCGGGCTGGGTGGTCCCAGATGCCCCCGGAGCGTGCTTTGTCCCGCAGGCCCCACAGACACAGCTGGTCTGTCCTCATTCCAGGAAGGGCTGGGGGTGGGGTGACCTCTGACCCCACACTGCTGCCAGGCCCGGCTGAGTCCCGGAGGGAAGGGAGGAGGGGGAAGAGGCCCGCGAGGGGGCCGGAACTGCCGCCCGGCCACCCCGCCCCCCTGCCCGCCCCTCAGGCCCCGCCCCCCAACTCTGCGCCCACCTGGGTGCGCCCCGCCCCGGCAGGGCCTGGCTAGCCGGGGACAGTGGAAACTTCCAGACCAGCAGCCCTCCCGGGGACAGCGCCGGCCCAGGGCGGCCCTCTGACCAGCACACTCCGGGTCCAAGCTCTGCCTGGGGGGGGCGGGGAAACTGAGGCCCGGGGCTGCCTGCCGAGGTGCCTGCTGGGTCATTAGCGCCCGGTGGGGGCGGAGGGAGGGGGCTGGGAGGTGGCTCGGAGTATTTGCTTTGCAAGGCCCAGAATCCCCAGGCTCGAAGGCGGGAGGGAGGGGCGGGGGCAGGGGGAGTGATTCAAGCCGCAGAGGGGTTGTTTATCCAAGCCGGGAGCCACCCAGGAGCGGCCCACCCTTGACCCTTGGCGCGGGTTCGGCCCCGATGTGAGAGAATTCAAGGGCCTTCACATTCCTGACTCACTTTCAAGGCGGTTCAGGGGCTGGGGCGGTTGGGGCCTTTGATCTGCACGTGGCCCATCCGCAGCACTCCCCGGGGGGTTCCCCCAGGTCCAGCAGGAGTGATCCCTGAGCACAGAGCCCCGAGTTGGCCCGGAGCACCACCACTGGGTACGGAGGACGCTGCGGGTGGGTGTCAGGAACAGCTGGTTCTGGTTCCCATCCGCCTCTGGACAACTTAGGCTCTCGCCACCTCAGTTTCCCCAGCTGCTCTTTCTCTCTCCGGGAGGTTCAGATTCTTACTTACCAAAAGCACTTTAAGTCTTCTTGGCTCCCCACTAGGATAAAATAAAACTCGGAGCGATAGCACAGCGGGGAGGGCGTTTGCCTTGCACGCGGCCGACCCGGGTTCGATTCCCAGCATCCCATAGGGTCCCCCGAGCACTGCCAGGGGCAATTCCTGAGTGCAAAGCCAGGAGGAACCCCTGTGCATCACCGGGTGTGACCCAAAAACCAAATTAATTAATTAATTAATTAATTAAAACTGATGTCCCGGGCCTGAGACCTGGTAAGGAGCTTGCCTTACACGTGGCTACGCTGGGTTCGATTCCCACCACCACATATGGTTTCCAGAGTCCTGCCAGGAGTGAGCCCTGAACACCAAACTAGGAGGAAGCCTTGGATGTGGCGCAAGCCTCGCTTACAACTGATCCCGATCGACCCCCAGCACCACGTAAAGGGTCCCTGGAGGACTCCCATCACCCCCAAATCTTGACTCTCCCGGGCCTCACTTAACTGCCCAAGGACTCACCCCTCCAGTTTGGTCCCAGGACCTTTGCATGCACCTCTGCTCACCTAGATCTTCTAGCTGTCAGTCCCCTGCTCTGGAAGCCCCTCCCCGGATCCCCAAACCAGGTGGATCCTGGATGAGACCCTCCCTCGTCGTCGTCCTCCCCCCCCCCCCACCCGAAGCCCCTTCCCGGTCGTGCGGCTCACTCCTGCCACCTAGCGGCAGAAAACGGAACTGGCGCTCAGAGTGCGTCTTTCTCCTATACTGGTTCAACCACCGCCCCCGCAGGCTGAAGCCTGCAACCTAATCCGTTCCCGTGCAGTGCCTCGAGTGGATGCACCCCGAAACCAGCCGGAAACGAGGCTGGGGCGATAGTACAGCGGGTTGCCTTGCACGCGGCCGACCCGGTTTTTCTATCCCGAGCATCCCACTCGATTCATGAGTGCAGTCAGGAGTGACCCCCTGAGCACCGCCGGGTGTGGCCGCCCCCCCCAAACACAACCAGCCACCCGAGACCCCGGAGGGTCCGTGGCCCGGGGTGGCCGCGGCTAGAGAAAACAACCCCTCCCCACGAATCCACCACCCAACCTCCGCTAACCGCGCCGCTCCCGTGCACCGTGGGACCCAGTAGCTGTTCAGCAAGTGCTAAATAAAATTTAAAAAACGGGCGAACGTCGCTGCCCCCGCATCCCCCCGGAAAAAAAATAAAGAAATCCGGGGAGCTACGGTCGCTGCACGAGTGAGCATTTAGTACAGTGCTAGACATGGATGCTGCTGGGTACTGGGGTGGGGCTGTGCATGCATCCGTTTCCTCCAGACGGGCCAGGGGCGCTCGGAATCGGGTCTTTCGGCTAAAGGCAAACGGGCTCCACGAAGTCGAGGCATTCGGAGAAAAGCATGCAGCAGCAACAGGACAGCCACTTGAGGCACCGCGGGGTCTTCCGGCGAGACCTCCGACTGCCCTTCTTCTTCAGGGGGTCGGCCTCCTTCCCGGACGCCGAGCCTCTGCAGCTCCGGCTTTCTCCGCTGGGCTGAGCAGCGGGGTCCGGGGGTGCAGGCGGCCACTCGGAGCGCCACGGCTGCCGCGAAGCACGCGGGGTCGGCGGGAGGGGCGCGCGCGGGCCGGGGGCGGGGCCTCGATGGGAGGCCCGCCCCCTCCGCGAGAGTCGCGCTTCGGATGACGTCATCCGACCGGCGCCCGGAGAGGCGGCGGCAAGATGGCGGCGCCCATGGAGGTGGCCGTGTGTACGGACTCGACCGCCGCGCTCTGGAGCTGCGTCGTGTGGGAGCTACACTCGGGCGCTAACCTCCTGTCGTACCGCGGCGGCCAGGCGGGGCCCCGGGGCCTGGCGCTGCTCAACGGCGAGTACCTGCTGGCGGCGCAGCTGGGCAAGAACTACATCAGCGCCTGGGAGTTGCAGCGCAAGGTGCGGCGTGGCCCCCGCGGGCTGGACTCCGCGAGGACGGGCCGCCGCCCGGACCGGGCCCGGGGATGGAGGGGCCGAAGCCGGGGTGGTGGGGGCCACGAGCGCCCGAAAGCGGGGTTGGGGGAGGGGGAAATGGGCGATGCTGGGCGTGGGGGGAGGGGAAACGCTCGGGGACTATGTTCTGCGCATGCGTGAGTCTAGGGGCTGGCGGCCGGAAGGGGGCGCGCGCCCTGGGGCGGGTGGGAGCCGTTAGGAGGCGGCGCGCAGGCGCAGGGTGGGGGGGGTCGGGGTGGTGGGGGGCGAGGGGGCGTGTCCCCCCGGGCTGCAGAGAGGCTGGAAAAGCGAGGCTTGGGATGGGGAGGGGGGTAAGTGGGGCGGGATGGGGGGTACTTACCGGTAATAGGGCGCCAGGTTGAAAGGATGCGAGAATTTTGTGCTTGCGCTCCCTTAGTGGTCTTGGAGGGTCGCCCGGGAGGCGCGTGCGTTTCCACCCCAGCCCCCCTCCGACATGCAGCCCCCCCTTGGTGCCCCCACCTGGCATCGCTCGGCGCGAGCTTGTGATGCACCGCAGGAACGTGGACAGTTTTCCTGACTTGGAGACTTGGAAGCCACGCTTAGGCCAGGGAGCACTGGGGTACCCAGCTGTCTGGCTGCACCAGCTCCCGCCATCCCCCGGACCCCCTGGACCTTGTTGGTCCCCGCTCTACGCCCCGAGAATCCATAATCGAGGCTTGCGCCCTGGGTCATCATCGCAGAGGCCCATCTCTCCTGGGAGTCCCCCCACCATGTTCCCGCAGCACCCCAGCCTCTTGGTTTTCTGCTTGGAGCTCAGGCACCGTGTCCCTCCAGGATCAGCTCCAGCAGAAGATTATGTGTCCGGGGCCTGTCACCAGTCTGACCACATCCCCCAACGGCCAGTACGTGTTGGCGGGCATAGCTGAGAACATCCACCTGTGGGAGGTAAGAGAAGGAGCCTGACCCCCGCAGACAGGCCATGACACGTGGGACTCGCCTCCCCTTTTGCAGAGTGCGGGATCTGGGGCCAGAGGGCAGGACGGAATGCAGTTCTGGCCGCCCCATCTTCCCCCTGCCCCGTTTTGTCTACTGGTCCGGACTCCTTCAACTTCTGGACCTCACTGTAGGGGTCTGCTTGGTTTTTTGTTTGTTTGTTTGTTTGTTTTCTTTTTGGGTCATTGGGTCACACCCGGCGATGCACAGGAGTTACTCCTGTTTCATGCACTCAGGAATTACTCCTGGCGGTGCTCAGGGGATGCTAGGAATCGAACCTAGGTCAGCTGCACGCAAGGCAAACGCCCTACCCGCTGTGCTATTGCTCCAGCCCCGGAGTCTGCTTGGTTTGGGGGCTACACACAGCAGCAGGGTTCAGAGGGTTGCTGTAGTGGTTGTTTGGGGGACTGTTTGATGCTGAAGATTAAATCCAGGCTCCACTCCACAAAGCCTCCCAGAGACAGCGGGAAGGGCTGACCTTACAAGCAGCCGACCCGGGTTCGATCCTCAGCACCAAATAGTGATCCCCCGCAAGCTCGGCCAGGAGTGATCCCTGAGCGCAGAGCCAAGTGTCAGCCCTAGAGTACCTCCAGGTGTGGCCCCCCAAAAACAAACCAAAACAGCTCTTGTGCTGTTTCCTGTTTCTGTTCAGTCTCGGGATCAGAGAGGAGGAAGTAGCCCTAAGAAGGCGCACCTGTGCCCCTCTCCCCGCCCCATGAAGGTCGCTGTCACCTTGATTTGGGTGGTCTCGGGGTCACCTCTCCTTGGTGGGGACAGCCAGGACCCCACATCCAAAACCTGGGAATCGTCACCACAAGGGGGCGCCAGAGCGGTCCTGATGCTGAAGACCCAGGCCCCTTCTCACTCAGGGCCGGGCAGTGAAGCCCCAACCTTGACTTCCGGTCTGGCCAGGCTCCCACAGAACTTCAGTGGCCACTGAGTGAAGAAGGAGGCCATGGGATCAGAGACAACGTGAGGTTAAGACACTGGGCTTGCACGCAGCCACCCCCAATTGTCACCCCATGTTGTCCCCTCAGCCCTGCCAGGAAGGATCCCTGAGTCCAGAGCTAGGAGGAAGCCCTGTGTGCTGCCTGATGTGATCCCCAAACCAAAAGAAAGAACAGTAGGGGCTGGAGTGGTAGCACAGCGGGGAGGGCGTTTGCCTTGCACGCGGCCGACCCGGGATCGATTCCCAGCATCCCATATGGTCCCCCGAGCACCATCAGGAGTAATTCCTGAGTGCATCAGCCAGGAGTAACCCCTGTGCATCGCCGGTGTGACCCCAAAAGCAAAAAAAAAGCAATAACCAAAAAAACCAAGGCAGAGTGGCAGGTCTGGGATGTGTGGGAAAGGGGGCACAAACCAGATGGCACCCCAGGAACTTCCCACCCTGCTTCTTTGACCTCTTTTTTTTTTTTTTTCTTTTTGGGTCACACCCGGCGATGCTCAGGGGTTACTCCTGGTTCTGCACTCAGGAATCACTCCTGGCGGTGCTCGGGGGCCCATATGGGATGCTGGGAATCGAACCTGGGTCGGCCGCGTGCAATTGCTCCAGCCCCTTCTGTGGCCTCTTGAGGTGCACGCGAGCCAGTCCGTGCTCCTGGAGGGGACAGGAGGTGCTCAGCAGGGGTTCCCCAGCCTCTCCTGGCCCTGGGACCCTGAGTGCCACCAGGGTCCCAAGTGGCCCCTTCCGACCTGGCCCACCAGTCCAGACTCTCCCGTCCCCTTTCCCAAAAAGGATGGGTACACCGTATCCCTGCGGGGCACAGTGCACCCCCACAACAGCACCCGGGCTTCCCCAGGTGACAGCCCTGCCCCTGGGGTGGTGTCTGCATCCCCCGCCTGCCCCCAGGGCAGGTGACTGAGGAGGGGGCGCTGTCCCCCAGCTCTGGAACAACGGGAAGGACCCCCAGGACCTCCCCCCAGTGTTGAGTGTGCGGCCACCCCTGCCCCCCACAGGTCTGCACGGGGAACCTGCTGGTGATTCTGAGCCGCCACTACCAGGACGTGACTTGCCTGAAGTTCACGGGGGACAGCAGCCACTTCGTGTCGGCGGGCAAGGACTGCCTGGCCCTGGTGTGGGACGTGTGCAGGTGCCGCTGGGCGGGCTGGGCCGGGCGGGAGGGCGGGGCTCCCTGAGGGCGGGGCATCAGGCTGAGGGTTCGGGGCGCATCTTGCAGCGTGCTGCAGGTGGACCCCTCCCGGACCCCTGTCCCCCGCCACGTCTGGTCTCGCCACACCCTCCCCATCACGGATGTGCATTGCGGCTGCGGGGGGCCCCTGGCAAGGGTGGCAACTTCCTCGCTGGACCAGACGGTGAAGGTATTTGAAGCCCCCTCTCGGTCCCTCCGGGGCCAGCATCCCAAAGGTGGCTGCGGGGGTGGGAGTGGGGAGTGGGGTATCCTCTGGAAAATCCCCCTTGGGTGCCCAGCCATGAAAACTGAAGCTGGATTAGCGAGGCATGGCCAGCAGGGGGCGCCCTTCTGGGGCCAGCCACACAACTTCTGCCACTGTCTGGTGTGATTATTCGGGAGGGCGGGCGGGTGCTGGCCTTGCTGGTGGCCACGTAGGGTACCCTGAACCCCTGCCAGGAGTCATCCCTGAGTACTGCCGGTTGTGACCCCACCCCATTTTTTTTAAAAGGCTTTCTAGGGGGGCTGGAGCAATAGCACAGCGGGTAGGGCGTTTGCCTTGCACGCGGCCAACCCGGGTTCAATTCCCAGCATCCCATATGGTCCCCTGAGCACCGCCAGTGGTAATTCCTGAGCACAGAGCCAGGAGTAACCTCTGTGCATTAACGGGTGTGACCCAAAAAGCAAAAAAAAAAAAAAAAAGGCTTTCTGTGTCCCTCAACGCCCCCCCCCCATGTCTCAGGGTACCCACACCCTGTACCCTCAGCTCTCAACCCCCCCCCAGTGTCCACATCCCCCCCACCTCGGGCTTTCAAAGCCCTCAGCACCCCTGTGCCCGCAGCTATGGGAGATTTCCTCGGGGGACCTTCTCCTCTCTGTCTTCTTTGACGTGGCCATCATGGCCGTGACCTTGGACCTGGCGGAGCACCACATGTTCTGCGGCGGCAGCGACAGCTCCATCTTCCAGGTGGATCTGTGCACATGGGTGAGCGCGGGCCCTCCCACACACCCTCGCTGCCCCCCCACCGGCTCCCCTCCCCACCGTACCCCAACTTCCCACTCCTTCCCTCTCGGCCTACAGCCTGGCCTGCGAGAGAAGAGCTTCCACCCGGACCAGGACGGCAAAGTCTTCAAAGGGCACAGGTGCGTGAGGGGGGCGCGCGTGGGCTCGGGGACGCCCCCCCCCCCCCCAGCTCCACCCGCGGCGGGCTCACCCGCCGGCTGTCCCCAGGAACCAGGTGACGTGCCTGTCAGTGTCCGCGGACGGTTCCATGCTCCTGTCCGGCTCACACGATGAGACGGTGCGGCTCTGGGACGTGCAGAGCAAGCAGTGCACGCGCACGATGACCCTGAAAGGTACCAGGGTTTGGGGGGGCAAGGGGCGTGCTGATTGCAGGTGGAGTCTGACCCGCACGCCCCTGCGTCCACCCCCCCAGGGCCCGTGACCAACGCCTGCATCGTGCTGGCCCCCGCCAGCATGTTGAGCTCCGACTTCCGGCCCAGCCTGCCACTGCCTCACTTCAACAAGCACCTACTGGGCGCCGAGCACGGGGACGATCAGCAGCAGGGCGGCCTCACGCTGCGCCTGGGGCTGCACCAGCAGGTACCCCTCGCCCCCCGCCCCCAACAACGCGAGCCTGTTCCCCAGAACCTGCCCGGGGCCCTTCCAGGACCAGCCTGCGCCCTGGCCGGCCTGCCCACCAGACTGTACAGCCCGATCTGTCTCCTCCTGCCCCCTCAGCTGACCCCGCCCACCTGTGCCCTCTGCTCCCCAGGCAGAGGGGAGCCCCCCTCCCCACCTCCCCGTGAGGACGCACATCCCCGACAGTGTTATCCTCGGCACTCACCGAAGTGCCCGAGCAGGGGGCAGGTGGGCCTCCCAAGTCACCCCTGGCGTCTTGTGTTTCAGGGCTCCGAACCCAGCTACCTGGAGCGCACCGATAAGCTGCAGGCGGCCATGTGCCACACCTTGGAGCAGGTGGGCGTGGCTGGAGGGCGGGGCCTGCTCTGATGGGCGGGGCCGGGCAGCCTCCTGGTTGGGGGTTGGCTCAGGGGCGGGACCGTATCCTGGTGGGCGGGGTCAGGCCAGGCAGTAGAGCAGCTTCCTGGTTGGAGGGTTGCTTTGTGGGTGGGGTTTCGCCCTTGGTGGGCGGGGCCAGTAGCTGACCTGCGTCCTGGTTGGAGGGCCGGGATGGGGCGTGGCAGAGGGTCCTAGCAGCCCCGAATCTTCCTGGGAGGGGAGGGGCCTTTTTGCCCCTCTGCATCTGTATGTTCGGGGGGCCCTTCCTGCTGCGGCGCCCCCATCCAGTCCTGCCCCAACCCTCTCCGCAGAGCATCGTGGGCGGCCAGGCCCACCTGCGGATTCGCTTTACGGAGCTGGAGGACGAGGTGCGGAATCTGCGCAAAATCAACCGGGACCTGTTCGACTTCTCCACGCGCATCATCACCCGGCCGGCCAAGTGAGCGCCCCCTGGCGGCGCGGCCGGGCCCCGCGCCGATGGACTTGGAGGCTTTTCCTTGGGGGCCACGGCCGGCAGCGTCCAGGGGACCGAGCGGTGCCGGCGCTCCCCCCGAACCCGGCCCTTGGAGCTGCTGGTTGCTGTCGGTGCTGTTTTTTGGTTTTTCTTTTTTTTTTCTTTTTTCTAACAAAAACCTCAAAAACCCTCTCTGAGGCCTGTGTGTGAGGGGCTTTGTCGGACCCCAACGAGCGGGTGCCTCAACCAAGTGGGTGGTCGGGGAGGGGGCGTGGGGCAGCGGACATTGGGGTCTTTACATCATGTTGTGGGAATCCGGGCCGCTTTGGGTGGGTGGGTGGGTGGGTGCTGGTGGCAGCCTTAGCTGCTGGCCGAGGGTCCCCAGGGGCAGGAGATGGGGAGTCCCGTGGGGGTGCGGCAGGGACGGCGCAGGAAGACAGCTCCCTAGGTCACCCCTTGGACTGGTCACATCGGGCTGAGATCACCCTGTCCTGGGGACACAAGCCGCCGCTGGCCAGTGCCTGGAGCCCAGCCCAGACGCGTGGGCCCAAGGCTGTCGGCAGAACCTTCCAGAACTCTGCCCCTGACTGCCAGCCCTGCTTAATGATCCAGAAAATCTCTGTGATTTAGTGGGTGCGGGGACGGCCTCTGCCAGAGTCCGAGCCAGCACTGAGTTCATGCTTTTCCGCTGGTGCTTGTCACCCCCTTCCTGCGGGGGCCGCAGGGGGCAGACAGTGCCTGGTGTGGGTTGGGGTGCTCCCGGGGCCCCTTGATCCTGCAGCCCCCACAAGTCCACAGACCACACACACACACACATCCACCACCCGGAGTTCCTCAGCTGCCCTGAGGCCAGTACTGCAGCCCTGGGCAGCTGGAGCCAACTGGCCAGGAGGGGGTGGGGGGGTCCCTACCCTCAGGACACCCTCGCTGAGTCTGCATCAATAACTGCACGGCTCTCCCTTCACCCACCCTTCACTGGAGGGCGGCGGAGGGGACGGAAGTCTGGAAGACAACTGGCCAGTGCCTGGTCATGTCCTGCCAGCCTGGCTGGTGGCCATGAGGTGCCCAGACTGGTCTAGCAGCTGCCTACCCGCAGGGGGCGGGGTGGGGGGCAGTTACCCCTCACCCAGATTTCCAGGGTCTCAGTGACCTCCAGTGACTGGGGGAGGGAGGTCCAACCCCACCTGCAGGCTTGAAGCTGTGGACAAAGCCTGAGACCCCGAGATCAGGGTCTGCTCAGCCCACCCTGTGCACCTCCAGATGGGCAGCGTGAATGCCCAGACCGTCCAGGATGGGCTGCGCCCCTGAGTGCCTGTCCTTGGGACCCCCGCTTCCCCTGTCTCTGGCCAGGTGCCACCCAACCCCGGGCACCTCGGAACGCTGAGAAATGGGGGGTGGCGCCCAGAGTCCCCGGCCAAGGGCACCCACGTCACCGCCACGCAGGTCTGTCTGGGCTCTGGCCGAGTTGGCAGCTCCTCAAAGGACACGGGCAAGGCGGGTGACAGCTCGCTCCCGGATGGACGAGTGTCCTGGCTGGCCCACACCTTAGTCCCGGGAGGAGACAGGCAGGGCCAGGGACTGGCGGGGGGCGTCCAGTGCCTGGGTGTGGGGGGGTGTCACACCACAGAGCCATGTCCTCAGAAATGTTTTCTAGTCGAACGTGACGCGGTTCACTTGCACTTGTTTTGTCTGGAGGTTGGCTGCCCCCCTGGGACAGATGGGGAAACTGAGTCACGGGCCTCCCCGCCATTGTTCAGGTGGCAGCCCCGCGGGGGGTACCCTCACTTGGTCCAGGATTATGTGGGTTCAGCAGTTTCTACCCATCCGTCATCCACCACCAACACCCCCCACTGAACCAGCACAAAGCAGGCTGGGCATGGAAGGTCTGACGAGTGTGGGCAGCGAGTGTCCCTGCCCAGGACTGGCCCGTATTTGTGGACCCACTTTGGGGGGGGGGGGGGCTGGCGTGGGAAGAGGCCAAGCACTCTGGGGCTGGTGCCTTACCGGAGTGGGGGACCCTGGGATGATCAGGGGCGCCCCCTGTCCTAGGATGACCCCTCCTTGTCACTCTGAGTCTCCCAGCCCCGGTGGTCCGCCCTCCCCTCCCGGGTTGGCCTAGTGCTGGGCCCGCTCGTGGCCCTGGTTCCTGCAGAGGGCACAGACCCCCCCCCCCCGCCCCCCACTGGCGTGGTTCCGCCTCCCGGCTGCTGGGGGCTGCCTCGGTTTCCTGGGTTCCCTCTGGCCCGCGGGCGTGGAGCTGGGCTCGAGACCTGGTGGGTCTGGGCAGGTCCTGCCTGGAGCAGCAGCCAAAGGTTTCTCACCCCGCAGCTATTGAAGCTACAGGCCAGCCCCAGGGCGTCTGCTCTGCGGGGGCGCGGGATTCCCGGAGCTGAGCGCAGAGACGCCTCGGAGAAGGGCTAAACAACCAGCAACGACGCCTTGGGGCTCACTGGAGGGAGGTGGAGGATGCCCATGCTGGCAGGTGTGTGCATCTGTGGGGATACGGATCTGGGGTGTGCTTAGAAGGTGCGCGACGCCTGGGGTGAGGGTTCTGCCTCACTCTGGAAACTTGCAGAGCGAGCCAGGGCGTTTAGTGCCGGGTCCTGCAGAGTGCATAGGAGTTCTCCGCTGCGTGATTCCCCACGGGGGCCTGATCCTGGAAGTGGGATTCTCCTCTGTGAGAACAGGGAGAGAATCACGAACCTGCTTGGCTTCACTTTCCCAAATGTGGGACTTGGGGGGCGTGACAAGGGGGGAGGGGACAGGGACTCTCCAGGGATGAGTGAGGTTCTGGCCCTCTCCTGCGGCAAAGCTTTGGATTCCTGACTCCACAGTGACGAGGCGCCCTCGGAAGTGAATCCCGTTCCCCACCCCCAGGGGGTGGGGGTGGGGGTGAGGGTGGGGGTGTGCCGGCCCGTGGGGCACCGGGAGGGGGCGGGCCGCTCGGGATCCCGCCCCTCGGCGCGGTCCCCACCCCCGTCCCCGCGACTCCGCCCCGCGCCGCGAGCGCGCAACTTGGGGATGGAGTTCGTGGGGACGCTGTGGCTCGTGGTCCTGGCGCTGGCGCCGGGGCCCGCGGGGGGCCACCCGCAGCCGTGCGGCGTCTGGGCGCGCCTGGGGGGCTCCGTGCGCCTGGGCGCCCTCCTGCCCCGCGCGCCCGCCGCCCGCGCCCGCGTCCGCGCCGCCCTGGCCGGGGCCGTCGTGGCGCCGCCGCGGCTGCCGCACAACCTGAGCCTGGAGCTGGTGGCCGCCGCGCCGCCCGCCCGCGACCCCGCGTCGCTGACCCGCGGCGTGTGCGGGGCGCTGGCCGAGCCGGGCGTGGCGGCGCTGCTCGCCTTCCCCGACGCGCGGCCCGAGCTGCTGCAGCTGCATTTCCTGGCGGCCGCCACCGAGACCCCCGTGCTCAGCGTGCTGCGGCGGGAGGCGCGCGCGCCCCTCGGCGCCCCGGTACGCGCGGACGCCGGGGGGTGGGTCGGGGGAGGACCCGGGGTCCGGAGGAGGGGCGCCGCCGCGAGGGCGCGGGGGGCCGAGCGGGCTGCGGGGGCGCGCGGGATCCGGACTCCTGGGTGATGATGCGCAGCATCCCGGCACCCCGGGTACCGCGGGGGACCCGGAACTCCAAGGCGAGAGCTTCTGCCCCGTCGCCCCTTCCCAGGGGCGCAGGGGCTGGAGTCCTGGACCCTGCGGGGACGCCTCCAAGACTCCAGAGACCGGAGCCCCCCGGGGGCGCAGAGCTCCCGTGCAGATCCCCTCCCTGGCCCCTCCGCGGGTCCCCGGCCGCGTGAGCTCCGGGTTCCATCCACCTTGTTGCGTGGCCGCTCGTGGTCCCCGCGCATCTCCGGGTTCCCCGGCAAAGGCCAGCCTCCCTGCTCGCTCTCCGGCCCGCGCGTGGGTATCTCCACCAGGGACCCCCGCTGCTTCCACTCCAGACGTCCAGGCTCGCCCATCACCGCGCCGACACGGGGAGCCCTCTCGGTCCCCAGCGACCTGCTCGGCCCCGCGTCCCCCCTCTTTGGAATTTTTCATTTCACCCCGGGAGTTGGAATATTGGATGAAAATGGAAAATAATCAAGGAGGAAAAGAAGGGTGATACACAGGTTTGGGGGGTGCCCTAGTGTACCAGGGTAGTCCTTCTGCTCCCCAATTCCAAGGCAGCAGAGAGGGTCCAGCCCCCTCCAGGGCGATGCTGGGGGTCGTGGTCTAAGCCCCAGCCTCTCTTCCCTGCCGCCTTCCTTAGCGAGAAAACACCCTGGTCTTGGGGACCTCGCCTGCGCCCTGCTTGGAGGGGAGAAGCGATGCCAGACCCAAATTCGGGCTTATGGCGCCCTCTGCCGCCGCAGCTGGGAATTGCAGCCTGTACCCCAAAATTCAATCCAGGCGCACCTTAGGGTGTTAGGCAAACCGCTTGCTCTTTGCACGCTTAGAGTGATACAGATGGGACTGGAGAGATAGGACAGCCGGACAGGGTGTTTACTTGGCACGTGGCTGACCTGGGGCACCCCAGAGGATCTGCTGAGCCCGCCAGGAGTGATCCCTGAGTGCAGAGGGAGGAGCAAACCCTGAGCACCGCCGGATATGGCTCCCCTCAAAAAAAAAAAGAGGGAGCACTCCAGCTTGATTTATTAAGCACAAGAGCCCCACCCAGCTGGTGGCTGTGAAGCCTTGATCCATGTCTCTCTTGGTGGGGGGCGGGGGGGGGTTCCTCAACAGGTGGGATGCAGAGAGCAGGATTGGGATGAAGGGAGTACAGAGAGAAGGTTGTGTCCTGCCTAGGAGGAGTGGGGCTGGTCTGCAGGAGGAGGGGCAAAATGAATGGGGTTTGGAAGGATGTGTAGGAGTTGGCGGCTTCTGAGGAGAAAGTCCAGCCGGAGGAGGCGAAAAATGGAGTGGGACCAGCAAGGAGGCCTGGGATATGCTGATGTTGGTGGGACGCAAAGAGGTGACTCGCTCTATTCGTGCTCTCTGCTCCCCAGAATCCATTCCATCTGCAGCTGGACTGGGCCAGCCCCTTGGAGACATTGCTGGATGTGCTGGTTTCGGTGCTACGGGCACACACCTGGGAGGACGTGGGCCTGGCGCTCTGCCGCGTGCGGGACCCCG